CAATTAAAGCGCGCGGCAAGCCAAGCTGGCAACGACGACGACCAAGTCCAAAAAAACCGGATTCAAATTGAGCACGACGAGAGCTGCTGAAGCTGAGGCTGAAGCTGAGGCTGAGAGCCACTGGCCACTGGCACTGGCTACAAGTGAACTGGTTTACGGCCAGCAACAACAAAAAAAGGTAAGAAAAAAATTCGAAGCTCGAACCTTCGAGCTGGAGTCGAACCCCAAGTCAGAGCCAGCCGCAGAGCCCAGCCGAGCGCCAGGCCGCCTGCCTGTCAATGGAACGCAGCCCAGGCAGCCAGCCAGGCAGCCGGGCAGGCAGGCACCACACTGAGTTCGGTGGCAATGACAGTGGCACATGCAGTTGTAGTGGAAGCCGCTGCGGCAGCCGCCGCCAGTCGCCCAAAAAACCGCCAACTGTGGCGGAGCCTCCAACGTTGAGCTACAGCACAATGTGTGTGTGTGTGTATGCGAGTGTGTGTGTGTGTGCGCTTGGAGCAGGTTTTAGCAGTCAGCGTATTTTTTATTTACTTTTCTACTCGCCATAGTCACGTCTCTCTCTCTCTCTCTCGCTCTCGCTCTCTTTGGGCCCACTCGCTGTGGCTGCGACTCGCTGTGATTCGCTTTTGGCCATAGCGAAAATCAAAAGAAAATAATTAGCTAGACCCTAAAAAAAAATTTGAGCTGCGGAATTTTTTTGTGGAATCTTATGTTGTATTTTTTTTTTGTTTGTCTTGAGTGTTTTTTGGTTGGGGGTGTTGCCTGCTCGGGGCGTGTGTAGCTTACCTGTAAACAATTTTGATGGCTGTGCGCAAGGCGCCTGAGGCTCTTTCAAGCTTGGCTTGGCCAGTATTCCAAGTATTTTGAACAAGTTTTAGTTTATTTAGTTTTTTTTTTCTCTCTTTTCCTTTTCTATATCTTTCTCAGTGCTTTTTTGTGGCACTTTTGTTAAACTTTTTGTGATTTCTAGAAGGCAAACAATATTTTAGATTAGAAATTTTGCAAAACAATTTTCCATATATGCTACAATTGGTTTTTAAGTTTAGATAACATGAAGTATCCAATCGGCTGGCTTGCAAAATTTATACAATAAGTTTAGATACACGCACACGTAGTACAACACACACACACACACACACAGATAGATACAAATGTATCTTACAGATGTATGCGCGACACAATCACGGCACGATCAGTCGCGCGCGGTCGCGGGTGTTACGGGAGCAACAGCAGCGGCGGCTACCACAAACCACGTAGAAGACGAAAAAAAAAAACACAAAACCAAACCACGTACGAAAGCAACCGCCAGCAAAACGAGCGATCGATCCAACCGAGCCGAGGGAACCAAGCCAAGCCAAACCGAACCGAACTGAACCGAACTGAAGCGAACGAACGAACGAGCCAAGCCACAAACGAGATACGGCAGCTGAAATGTGTTTTTCTACATTTTGTTTGAAATAGGAGCTGAAGCCAGTGCAGCTACCAATTCGCTCCTCAAGTAGTCCCAAACTCTACCCACACACACGCTCACACACACACACTCACTGACACACACACACACGTACACACACTATGACACGCCACTGAAAAGCGCTTTTCAGCGAGCGGCGATCGGCGATCGGTGAGCGGGTTCGGTTGCGACGTTGCAACAAGTTCACTGTGCCTGCATTTTTCCCCCAATATACAGATGTATCGCACAGATACACAACACACTCACACACACATACGTATGCAATTCCACTGTGTGACTGTAGCCACGATCCGCGCGCAGGTGCGTCAGCTACGATCAACTCTCGAAGACTAATCCAATATTGCCGAGCCGCTGTCGTCGTCGTCATCATCGTCGTTCGAAGAGAGCGACTCGCCGAGCGCTGCAGCGAGAGAGTAAGCCGCAACGAGTAGCGAGAGAGAGAGAAAGAGAGAGAGATCGCGCTCGAAACCAGCCAAGTGAGAAAAGCCCAACAACAACAAGAGCAACTGGCAAACAAACTAACCAACCGACCGCCAGTCGCACGCTGCGGACAGCCGGACTCAGCGGACAGACACACGGAACGTGCATACGTACGACGAGTTATTGTCAGTTAGAGAGCTACCTGTTTACCGACTGCTTACCGTTTTCGAGGGTAGACGAACAAACTCACGGGTTGCCAGACTGCATTCAGCTCGGTACGTTTCCAATGGGCGAGGGAGTAACTGCGGTGGCCGCTTGCGGCTTGGGGGAGTCGAACCTAATATGATATGGTGGTAGGGTGTGATTTGTGAGTCGTATGAGATGAGGGACATTATTGAAAATTACATTTCTGAGTATTCTACTTGTATTCTTGGCTTTAAGATCTTAATATCCAAAGGGACTCTCAATATAGGAGCAATTATAATATGATTTAATATATCAAATTCTTAATCCTAATAAGGTCTGTAAAAGAAAACAAGATTTCAGGTAGTACTCCCAATAGCTTATGTTTTGGTTGAATATATTGATCTCGTTTTTACCATTTACCACTTAATGCGCCTATTGGAAAATTAACTGTAAAAAATCGATTTAAAAAATGTTAATAAAAGCCATATAACCATATAAATACATACATATATTCATTTACATGTACATCCATACAAACATATGTAAGTACATACTCACATACATACATACATACATACATACATACATACATACATACATACATACATACATACATACATACATACATACATACATACATACATAAATACATACATACATACACACATGTGTACATACATGCATGCATATGAACATACATACTTATATGCATACATGAATATATACATATATAGGTATATATATATATATATAAATGTACACACACATGCAAAACAACAAAAAAAAAAAGTTAAAGTACCAAAAAACCGAAAAAAAATAAAAAAACAAAAAAAATGCATTACTAGCTAAGCATGAAAAACTGCAGAGCCTGATTGAATTCTTGAGAATCGAGGAGGAGAGCACTTGGTAGAAATGCGTTTTATTTAAATTTTCAGCACAGCGACAAATAAGCTTTGTCTCCGTTTAGTATTGGAAAACAAAAATAAATTCATATATATATATATGTATATACATAAATGCATACACTATCACACACAGGCCCCCACAAACACACACACATACATGCACATGCGCATACATATATAATACTTATATGCTATCGTACAAAAATGAAAAATAAAACGTTAAAAGGCTTAGAGTTTGGCTCTGAAACCAACTTGAGTTTAATTTTATACATAAATTTAAATATTTTTGCCCAAAGAGTACCTGAATTTAGATGCCTGATTACATGTGCATGTGTATGTAGGTTTCCACAATTCCAACAGGTTGATGGTTGAACAGTCTGGCAACCTTTTCTCCCGCACATGTTAAACAACAAAGGTATGCGGCTAAGTATTAAGAGGAAAAAAAAAAACGAAACACAGTCAGGGTCTTGGCGAGCTGCCACTGCAGAGTCTGTGGTCCCACAGAGAGGGAGTTACGTTTGACGAAAACGCCTAGATGATGTTGATGATGCTGGCCAAGATGACGACGGTGATGATGACGATGAAGAACCACCAACTGTTTCAAAAGTGGCAAAGAAAATCCAAGAAATAAAATCAAAGAAACAATATAAGAAGCAGCAGAAGAAACACAAAGAAAAGGCTCAGACTGCGAGACTGAGAAAAGAAGAGATAATTAAGGCAGTGGCATGGGCCGCACAGTGGAACTAAATGGTTATTGTAGCCGATGTTGTTGTAGTTGTTGTTGTTGTTGTTGTCGTTGTCAACGCCGTGACTTGAATTCGAGAGCAGTGGCAAGTTGCATGCAGCACAAGGTAGAAGCCCGAATAGACTCTGAGACAGCGGCAGGGGCAGCTCTGGAGGCAGACAAAAAACAAAAACGGTAGCAGTCCCATAGGGCGAGCGAATTGTTATGCTAGTCGTTGACTTCTCGGTGCCGGCTGCCGTGTGTGCATATTTTGCAGCTCTTTACGATCTGAAATAAATTACTCAAAATTTGTGTTAAACAACCGTGCAGCTAGAGCGGCAGTCGAGAGTCGCGAGTGGCGAGTGGCGAGTGGCGAGTCGGGCTGACAGGTTCATTGATCGCATTCGAAATGCTTCGTTTTCGTTTGAGCCTGACGGATTGGGCCAGGGGCAAAGTGGCAGCCAGATAGTTGCAGTTGCAGGTAGGACCCGAGTTCGTTGTATCATTGAGCCTAATTAATGATGTTTAGGCCCATTTCAATGCCCTCAAGCTGTCAGCAGTACCACAATTTACACATTTGTCATTGGCACAGTCTTAGACATGGGAATGGCTATCCTTAGAAGGAAGCTCAACTCTACTGTACCTGTGGTAAAATTTTATGCATTGCATAGATTAAAGCATATGTTAACTAAACTAGAGTTGACAGCAAGAGATCAAACCTGGTTACAACCGAACCGGTTTGAGCTCAGATTTCCGGCTTATTATTTAAGATGCATCTATTCTTGGATCGGATAATTTAGATAAAGAAAATCTGAACCTAATCAAGAGTATAAACCAACCGCATACTTTTCAAAGTTTGTTTCAATGATATTTACAAGATTTTTTTGTTAATATGTCAAAATACTCTTGCAGTAGTTTTGAGTAGGCTTTTGAGTATAACAAATCAATTCGGGAAAGGATTTGACGAATCAATTGTCAATTCAAAACCTGGACTTATATAGAATAAAGAATATCAGGTTCACGTACCACACCTTAGATCCAGACATTGTCTTAAACTGTGAAGCAGATCATAGACAATAGCTGTTGGATTTGCAGCCATGTTTAGCAGTCAGATTAAAGGCAAGTTCATCTAAAATTCCAGCTTGCATAATTCTGTAAACTCTCTCTTGAATCAAAATGTGGCACAATTTAACAATTGTTCTTGGTATATTCTTTATTTAATAGTTAAAGCTCTTATTTAGTGTTTTTTTTTTTTGGTATTTGTTTTTTCTTTTTTTTTAATGATTTGCTCACATTTTCCACATAACATAAAAATGGCTGTCACGCTGTCATGTATATATAATAAAGTATTATCTAAATGAATCAGCACACACTCAATAATTGGATATCTCTATTTAAAATATATAAAATATATTTACGCGTGTGCGTGTGTGTGTGTGTGTGTGTGTGTGTGTAACACTAACAAAATAAATTGCACTCAATATGCACACACTGATCCACAAAAGAAGGGAAATCAGCATTTTTAAAGATCATATATCCCATATATGACAAAGTAACTACTGGATTGTGAAGTATTCAATGTACTCATAAAGTATTTGCCATATTATTATTGTGTCTCTCTTGTCACTCGGATAGATCGATCGATCGATCGATCGACTTACGCGAAAACTAAATGGCAATCCCAAAAAACTCAACCTATCAAAAAACTAAGCTTAGCTACAATGTGATTCACTTTCTTTCCCGATTTTAAAGTTTTTAAAAAAGCTATACATATCAATAATAATTGTGTCTAACTAATAAGCCATCTTGTTGTTGTTTCTTCTATTTCCTCATATTGTTGTAGGGACGAAAACCGTGTTTCTCATATAACATGCACATTAATTTTGTATTCGAATATTAAACCTTTCCAATACAGCCCAAATATATCTAAGTAGTACGCCTTTCATGATAACTTTACTATTATCTGCTTGATGCCTGTGAAATTGGTCATGAGTAGTTTTTTGTTTCCTCCCCAAAAGTTTAATCTGCAATCTTGTAAATATTATCTCACTGTTTAGATACCCGTCTAACATGGATATCAATTGCCATGTGGTTGAGCCTTTGAATACCTAATTATCTCTCAATCGATTAAGCCTAATGAATTTTGTTTTCAACTCAAACACACTTTAGACAATATGTTGGTCTGCTATACGTCTATATATATAAGTACTATACGCTATATTATGCATGTATATATGGTGTGTATGTGCATGTGTGTGTGTATGTGTGTGTGTGTGTGAATGTGTGTATAACAAGACAACCTCACTAAACATAAGCTATAATAATTATATAACAAGAATACACACCAAAATTCTCTATGGTATATTGCAAAATAGTTTTAAGCCCCCGATTCGACGATTGACTGCCCGAATTCCTTGTCTTAGTAGCTATAAAAAACTCTGGACTATTTTCTATATAATTTGTGTTTGTTGCTGTTGTTGCTGTCGTTTTTGCTTAAGAGCTAGTTGGTAGTACCTAGTACCCGTACTAATGTCCCAAATATATGAATTCCAGACGTTAACTAATCCATAAAGTAGCTAAAGCTACGACGCTTGCGTCGGCTACTGAGCGCCGATCTGGAGCGTGTTTTTAACCTTAGTTACCCGGACTTGATCCACCGATCTATGGAATACTCCAGTGCGGATATCCAACTGCAAATTACAAGATATTGCAAATGTAATACAAAATAAATGCTAAGAGACCTTACCGCTTTTTATCCATTTCGCTTTCGGTGCAAAAATAATAATGACGCAATTTCGCCTCTGGTGGTATTATCTCGAATGAGTTCTTCTTGCCGGACGCATTGGTGGACATCGAGGCCACTTTGTAGCCGTGCAAACAGGCCATGCCTAGACGAAAACCAAATTGATTCAACAAATTTTAATTAATTAGCTGCATGCGTCTGCTGTCTGTTTATTTGCTAGAATACCCTGTAGCCCCAAAATTTAACAAGGGTATAATAGGGAATTAAGTAGACTTCTTTAGCGGACTATTAATATATATGTATATATATCCATAGATCAGATCGTCCTTTCTTTCTTTCTAGCTCTTGTTTGATCTTTTAAAACGCTTTTAATTTTTTATAATTTGAATTTTAGATGCACTTTTAAATTGCCTTAAATTTTAACTGGCAACAACATATTGTATTTTAAATGCAGGAGTTATTTTCCGGTTACAGGGTATCTCTGAGCCTATTAGTCCTAACTAGACCATTCTAGAGCAGACTTCTTTATGGTCTGTCTGTGACTCACCGAATGCACTTTTGCTATTTGAATCTTGATAAAAATAGAGGCAGGCATCCTTAAGTACACAATAGCGTTTCGACCAGCCGCACCACCTTGAGCCCAATTTGAGCAAATGCCCAAAGCAATCGGGTCGCACAATGTTGCCGGGGCTCTGGTACAGACAGCGGGCACTGTGAGGGAGAAAAGAGAGAGAAGAGAAAGAGAGAGTGAGTAAGAGAGTTGGCTGTGAGTTTATTGAAGATCAATGTCCCCCAACCTTTTGTCCAGCCACTGATTATCCTGTGTGGCCGCTTGGCGCAGCAAATTCAACCATCTGTTGGCCAATTCCTCGGAGTCAGCGGCCACATACATGGGTATGCCCTCGCCGGAGTCCACTTTGAAGGCATGAGGCTTGCCTATATCGAGGGGGCACAAGTCCACAGTATGTTTGGCCATTATCATGGCACCCACGGGCTGAGAATCCTATTTAAAGAAATTTTAAATACAATTTTTAAACAACATTTGTAAGCTGAAATGTTTTGCTCAAAGACACAGTTGCTAATAACAGACTCTTCCATTACGTTAATTACTTTGACTAAATACATTTGAAGTTTTACCTAAATTAGTTGACACAAACTAATTGAGTCAGTCTTATTTTTGATATCTTTATAAACTTAACTGACTCACTTGCTATTACTTATAAGTCCACTGCTTAGTTTCCTTATGATCGATTACTAAGAAATCGATCTACCTCGTTCTTCAAATATTTAACTTATTTTGTTAAAAGATTAAATAAAAAAGTAAACAGCTTTTGAGCTAAAGAGCTGAATGCTATGCTTTTAAGAGATCAATTCGATTATGATAATTTACTTAAAAGTTTCATGAATAATACTTGTTCATTATTACCTAACAATATGTCGCACTTTTTTTTATATTTTAATATAGGAGTTTATATTGTAAGCTGTAGCGAAACTTAAAACTTTAACAAACTACCCCAAATACTTAATGGGTATTCATTGTTTAAGAAGCTCGAAATCTAGTTTCGTATCTGTTAAAACAAGTATTACAAAATATTTAATATTTTTAAAAATATATGGTCATATATCACAGAATGTTGTTATTTTCGATGTTCTTGTTCCACTAGCTCATATTTAACTCAACATATTCTTCCCAAAATGTGTGATATAAGACATAAATAAGCTTGCCTAAATTGTTCTCGTGGGTATTATTTCGAGAACTAGTTGGGCTATATATTAATATGTGTATTTGAAAGACTTACATCTTCCGTTTTGTAGTAGTACAGACAGTTGTCTGGCCGCAGCGAGAACCAGCGTCGCACCCACTTCTTGGTATTGGGAGCACCTTTAGCTTGACCGCTCTGACGCCACAGGTAGCCGCTGAAGATGGGCTGGCTGGGCGGCTCCAGCTGCTCGTGCATGAGCACGCCAATTGTGCGGGCAACTTGCAGCTCCAGCTTTTCACAGCCATCGTGCGCTATCTTGACCACCTCCGTGTGATGCTTGTCCAGCACTTGGACGCCATTCACCGATATGATAATGTCGCCAACTTCCAGGCCGGAGCTCTCCGCCGGCGTGTCGGGCTCAATGGCGGCCACCACCACCGGCTTGGAGCCGTGTATGCGAAAGCCAAACTCCCCCGAATCGCTCTTCACCACCACCGTCTTGTCCACGCCTGCGTGGGGGAAACAATTATAAAGATACATATATATATATATTATAGACTCATCTATAGATCTGTGAGAGATGTGATTTGTGTGCTTTTATTTCCGGACACATTACCGTGCGCGCCATTGCTGAGCGTTGATATGACGAAACTCTCACGTGCCCAAACTAAGAGCATTAGCTTTAACACCTCCTCAAGCTTGCGTCGCACCGAATCTGGCGGCGAATTCGACGATATTAATTCTGTGGCGTTTGGAAAATTATTGTATTTAAGGCGCAGCGCTTGGCATGTGAAATGCGATTTTTTGTTTACCCACCAATCATTTGGATTAATTATTGTGTAAATATGTGTTTTTTTTTTAGCGCTGACGATCGACAATCGCCTTGAACACTCCGAACTGAAATTTGGGACGCGGCAGAATTTGCACTTTTCACATTTGATAATAAGGAGATCCGATCGAAAAGCGTTCGCTCCGTCGCATCGGCACACAACAAAGCACGCACCGCAACTATTTTCGATAACAGAATCAAACACAAAAAAAACTATTTTTTATTTTATTTTTTTTTTGCTTTTTTCGTATGCCAAGTGCCGGTCATGAAAAGTCAGAGCGCCACCGACCCACTATCAGAAGGAAAACGGCGTGTACTGCTGTGTGAATGCCGAAGCTCAAACACTCTCACTTCAAAATATTTATGTACGAAGCCTATATATTTTTTAAAGATTATTTTAAGGACTATGCTTCTTTTGGAAATTTATGCTATTGAAAACTTTTGCAAGTGTCCAAATGTTAAAGGAGTCTATTATACATGGTACACGTTTTTTTTATAATATTTTCAAATTAATTGCGAACATTTGTATTAAAAGTCCCTTACATATTTAGGGATGCTTATAAAAATGTTCGTATAAGGAATGGATTTTTGATAACATTTTATATAAGTATTTTAAGACAATTGCTTTATACCGAAACTTGGAGGTTCATAGAAAAATATTTTAACACAACACGAGGTCTGGGCGTGATAAGTTTCGAAATATAATTAGAATACCCTTTGTTAGGGCATAAAAAGCGCTCTCTCGTGGCTCTTTTTTTACAATTCAACGCGCACGTTGTGCCAAATATAGAAAACTATACAGGGTGTTCCCTGCAGTTCGCACACTTACGGAAGTTGTTGTGCTTCTGTCGATGATACATTTCGAGTGTGCAGCGACGCTGAACCAGACGATGCAAGATCACCTGATACTTGGCATGAAAGCCCTTCTCCGACTCGGTGGAGGCGCGACGCTCACGGGAACGATCTGCAAAGGCATTTAATGGATTTTCAAATTAACGTTCTTGAAAATCAACCAAAGCGTGGAGAACCCACCGAAGCACTGGTGATCCAGTTGCGTCCAAAGATCATCGTCGGTTAGGCGCGTGTAGCGACCCGCATCGTAGTGACCTTTATAGATGATATGCTGACTCTGCTCCGTGTTGATATCGGGCAGTACGCAGGGACTGGAGCCGGCGGGTCGCAGTATGGGTGTATTGGGTAGACTAGGCGCGCGGCCACGTTCCTCGCTCTGCACAGAATCGGAAGGGAAATCGATGTTAATACACATTTTGTTAGTCTTGCAGAGAATATTACAATTTGGTTATGAAATATGTAAGGTACATATACAAAAATAAATAAATAAATAATAAATAAAAAAATATAAATAATAAATAATATATCCTTAATAATCAATAAATAAATATCAATAAATACACATTCTTGATCAGTATTAACAGCCCTATTAATTTCAATATGAATTAGTTCCTCAGTCTTGAAGCTATAGACCGGAAATTTGCATAGGTTGTTCTTTCTGCTGTCGAAATCGCATGAGTCGGAGCATTATATCATATAGCACGCACACGAACGTTGAGTCAATATAGAATGAATGTAGCCTAATCAAGGTAGGTAATTACGAGTTCTACCATTCTATTTACATATGATTAACATTTGATCAACATCTGAATAACATTTGATATACTGGAAGAATCGGTTAAGCTGAGTTCTTTTATGACAACAATTTATATTTTGCAAGATCTGTCAAGACGTTAGTAGAATATTACGTATATTGACAATCATCTTTGATCGTGAAGCTTATAGGAGCAATTGATCAGAAATATAGACTTCGTATAAAAGACAGGTCTACGAGGGAATCTAATCTTCGGCGTGCCGATAATAGCCGTACTCTTTTCTCTATGGAATTTCCCTACCTCTTTTCCCATTCTCCCGCATAGCTCACCTTGGCGCGTATGTTCTCCTGCCTGGTCTTGTAGTGTCTGCCCCGTTCGCCATGGTATCGCTCCTCGGACCGAAAGCGTTTGTCCATTTTCTTGTACAGCCGCTGGGTGGTCTTCGTGGTCACCGGCGAGTCAGCGAAATCGGAGGGCGGCTTCACAATGTCCGCTTCCTGTTCGATGTAGGGTATGGACTCAACGGAGTCGCCGGCCAGTTCGCTAACAGTGTTGTTGTGTTGCTTGCCCTCCATATCCTTGCCGCAGTGCAGGCAGTGTCCCTGCTCCGTGCTGGCCGCATTGCCATCGGCCTCGCTGTAGAAGACCGAGTCCGAGCCGGGCGACACGGAGCGTAGTGATTCAATGGACTTTGCCTTTAGCTGGCCAGCCTCGGATGCGGATTTGGTGACCGGCACGGGCACGGCAGCGGGCAGCTTGGGCGATAGTAGCGCTGTGGGCGTGGCGCAGCTATGTGGCTTTCTCACAGTGGGCGGTGGCGCCGCCTGATCCTGCAGTGTGGCAGTGCCCGTGGAGGAGGCCGATGTGGTTGTCGTTGTGGCCACCGCAGTATCTGTTGTTGCTGCTGCAGCTATTGCTGCGGAGGTGGATCTGGGTCCCATGGTGCTGGTCATGCTGGCATCCAGAAGCAACTCTGTATCGCCGCTGACGCTGCTCAAGCCATAAATGGTGGGCGTTGCACGCGTGCGTCTAGCGGCAGCCGCAGCAAGCACATCCTCCCTGGAGCTCTTGCGCAGCTGTCGCCGTATCTTGGGACGGAAACGTTTCATCTTGCTGGGACTGCCGCCCTCGAGAATGCCAGCGCTGTGCTGCTCCGGCGACTGCTGCTTGGCGGCGCCGCTGGGCTTCTTGATGGGACTGGTGAGGGCGCGCATGTTCTCTTTCTCGATGTCCAGCTTCATGCAGGTTTTGCGTCGCTTGCGCTCGTCCTCCTGCCGCTGGCGACGCGACTTGCAGCTGGGCGGCACCTGCTCCTCGTCGTCCTCATCATGCGGACTCTCATAGTAGCCGGAGGAGGAGTAACGCAGCTCGCTGCGCTCGTCCTCCGATATGGATTCCGGCTTGGGCTTCGGCGCCGCCGTCTCAGCAATGCTGACCTTCATCTGGCCACTGGCGGCGCTGCCAACTGTCTGGGGCTCACACTCCTTGGCGGGTGATTTGATGGCTTGGCCCGAGACCGGACAGCTGCCCGATGAAGTGGTGCTGCTTATGGAGTGCGAGGGCGATTTCCTGGTCAGCTCAGCCGCCGAACCCATTGGGGATTTTAGCTGTGCACCTTTTGCGGGCGGCTTCTCGTCATGCTGCAGCAGCTCCTCGCGCATGGAGTAAAGCGAACTGGCGCTTTCGAAGGAGCTGCCCGCATGGGTCTTCTCTAGCTGTGAGCTCTGCGTGGATACTACATGTGCGAGATGGAAATATTTCGGGTTTAGTACAGATCTTTATAATGTACAGCTAAAGACAGCTAAAGCATTGCGGGCAAGGCGTTCGTCAAGCAACAACAACAAACTAGAGAGTTGTGAATGTGGATGAGCTAAGAGGCATTAGGCTATATAAGAGGCAAGATTAGTACTAAGGCGGCAAGCGTGATTGGTGTGGGGATGAGCACTGACTGAGTCCGGGAATACGGCACAACATTCATGGATGTAACACACACTTAGTGTTATGTGGACTACACACACATACACACACAGATACACACAATACTTGGGAGCCCCAAACCTGGCACTTGTGTAGTCGACGATGAGCTAGTCGTGGTCGGCGGTGTCTTAATACCTGGTGTACGCTTCGAGGTATCCGTGCAGGTCGCATACTCATCTGTGTTTGTGCTGCATTCGGAAATGTCGGCGCTACGCGCATAATCCGTGCCGGAGGGCATAAACGAGGCGTCCGAGTGGCTAAGCGGAACGAAACAATGTTAAATGGATGATCGCATTGCGCTTGGTTGAGACCTCAACCTACCGCTGTTTGGGCACGCCAGACACATACATCAGCTGGCGGGCATCTGGCATAGAGCTTCGGGATGCCATGCTGCGCTTGGGCAGAGGAGAGCTAACCGAATCCGGCAGCTGATTGCTTGAGGGCGTGACGGCTATGGCGGGCGTTTGGATCGGTTGGGTGGACGCCGTCGCCGGCTTTGATGTTGTGGGCGTGGGTGTCCTTATAATCTTCGGCAGTGTTTGGAGGCCATAGGTGGGACTCTAAAAGTCGAATGAGTGTTAGGAGCACAAGTGAGAGAGAGAGAGAGAGATTTGTGTTTCCCCAAGACTCACCAATTCCTCAAGGTCCAGAGCATCTGTGTCCACTGAACTGCGCTGCTGATGCTGCAGCAGCAGATTCTTGCGCTTGGACGAGGGCGTGAGCAACATATTGGAACTGTAGGAGCCATCGGATATGTCCCTCTGTTCGACCGTCAGCACGGTCACCTGAGACTCATTCCAGATGCCGTCGGAGTGATCGCGGGTGGTGTCGTTGGCCAGCGAGTCTGAGGATGGATAAGTTGAGACATTGGCCAGCAGCAGCTCATCGCGACAGGGACTGGCCGGCGTGGAGGGCAGACGCAAGCTGGGCGCCGAACAGGCGGTGGCCGTCACGGCGGCATAGTCATCATCCAGGCTAACCGAACGCTTCCGGAACTGCGTCCGTTTGTCCACCAGTTCGGTGGGCGCTGGCTCCAGCTTACAGGCGCAGGGAGTAATATTCTCATAGATTGGTTCATCGTCGTCCGCTTGCGGCTGCTCCGAGTCGGGCTCGTGCTCCTGCTGTGCCCGTTCAATGGCATCATCATCCTCCTCCTCCTCTTCATCGTCCTCCTCGTCGCTGGGCTCAAGCTCAACTTTTCTAGCCTCAACCTCGACTGGCTGCTTCAACTTGGGCAGTGTTAGGGCGGCCGCCTGTGCCAGCCGCTGCTGCTGCATCTTGCGCATGGCTATCTCCGCCTTGTGCTGCTTGCGATGCTTCACTTGCTGCTTGGGACTGGGCTTGGGCGAGACGTGTGGCTTGAAGTCTATGAAGATCTCCTGTTCGTCCCGCGGCGACGGCTCCTTCGCAAAGCAACTGACTTTGTCGCGATGCCGAAACGAGCTGCGTGGCCCAAAGCCATCGATCAGCTTCTCTGTTTGCCCATAGATCGGCATAGACTGTCGGCGGATATCGTCCCGCCTGAAGGGTGAGTCGTCCATTGGTAACATGGACATGCGACGATTCTGCGCTGCCGCCACGACCTGCTCCATGCACACCTCTGAGCTGTAGCTCTCCGTTTCGTGTGCTCGCACATCCTCTTCCTCCTCCTCCTCGTCCTCGAAGTAATCCTCAACAGGATCATCATCGTTCTTGCAGTATTCGCTGGGCGGCGGCAGCAAATGAGGTCGCGTGAAATCCAGGGGAACACTGTCCGTCATCAGCTCGGCGCACTCCGTGATGTGCTTGCACACATCGTGGCTGTGCAGTGCATCCGGGCGCCGGGGCAAGCTGTTCGAGAAGTAATCCGTCTCGGTGCGGGCGTGCGAAGTGCATGCCCGTCGTGGCAAGCTGTTGCTCTCGTAGTCGAAGCTCTCGTTCAGCGCCAGCGCAGCTGCATTCACATTTACGTACTCCACATTCTGCTCGCCCCGGCCCCGACTCAGATGCTCCATGCCGAGACCGTAGCTGTGCGCGTCCAGCAGCGGCGGTGGCGGCGTATAGTACATGATGTTGTTTTGTGCATCGGACAGTGTTTGCAGTGGGACCACATCTTGTGATTGGGTGCGATAAATCAAGTCGTGGGGATAAGCCGAACTGAAAGTAATCAAGGAGAGAAAGTTAGTCAAGGTTCCTTCGTGATCGACAGAGTAAGAGCTGGTATAAAGGATTTATGGAATCATTTAAATCTGTAATTTCGTTTACTAGACACAAGGCCTTTGAGTAGATACCAGGAATAGATAAGTGGATATATTCGTAGGATATATATGACAAGTAAAAAAGAAAAACTTGTCTTGTTATGTAATAGCTTTCTAGATGATTCTTTAGCAGCTTATATTCAACTCTTGGTAAAAAGTTTACTGACTCCCATTTAGCTGTAACCCACACTTACCCCTGGTAATGCTGATGCATCAGATCCTTGCCATTGGGTATCTCCGACAGACTCTTCGTTAGCTTTTTGCCATTCTGCAGGCCGTTCGTCTGGGCGCCCTGTGACATGACCTTGACGCGATGAGGAGCATGTGGACTCATGGCCAGCAGCTGCGTATTGGAAAGGCCCTCGCGACGAGCCGCCACCTCCGTTTGGGTTGCCTGCGTCTTCATTGCACTGCGGAACTTCTTCTCAATAATGAGCACCTCGGGACTAGGCGGCGGCAGAGCCACAGGCAGCGGCTGCGGTATAATCAAGCTCACCATGTTGTCTGCGGATTTAAGTTGAGGTTTCGGTAAGATGGCACAAAGTTGGTTAGGACATTTAGCCAGGCTTACCTGGTAGCTGCTGATGCAGGTGAATGGGAGCATGGTGATGCTGACATGGCTGCAGCTGAACTGGAGCTGGTAGCCAGGTCTTCGGTAGCGTGGAGCTCTGCTGTTGTTGAAGTTGTTGTTGTTGCTGTGGTTGCTGTTGATGGGGCAGCATGGGCTGCAGAGTCTCATACATGGAGCCCGTTGCAATGATGGGTTTCTTGCCACCAATCAGACGCTCCTGACTGCGTGCGCTTTTCAAGCGATCCGACGAGCGAAAGCCCGCATTGACGGTGTCAAAGCTGGTCAGAGTATGAGATCGGGCGAAGCTTACGTGCTTCGTTCTGTGGTTCGAAAGATGTTCAGAGATTAGATTAGTTATACTCTAGCTAAGGCTCTTTTACGTATTGTCTAGTAACATTTGCTCTTCTTAAGCTGGTCTTTTCCTATCTTTAAATGCCAATAGCAAACAGTAAGGTACATATGATCCTCGGATATTTTTTCTTCTTCATATGGGAACTTAATGCTAGTAGAATCTTTACTTTAATATACATAACTGTGTTAGCTAGTCTTTGTATGAAGAATCTACTAAAATTATTATTTAATTAACGAGGCTGGGGCATTGAATGGTAATTGAAGTGTACTTCAACTTGATCTAGTTGTTAGCTAACATACATTTTGAAAGGAGCATGTGCTAAGATCGTGAACAAATGCGTTTTTTTATATTAATAGATTATTTTGTGCTACTCACCTGGGGTTGCCAGACTGTTGCTGCAGCTGCTGCTGTGGCATGGGCATTGTGGCATATGTGGGGCAGTGATACGAGCTGTGAAACAGAATATGGACCGAGAACTATTAGCAACTATTTTAGGCATGCGTATATAATGGGCATATGACTAACAAACATTGCTCTCTTTTCTCGAACTTTAGTCACGTGCAGACACATAGCATTTAAATAAATTTAAAAAAAAAATCATTTTTAATTAGCGCACTTTTAAAACGTTTTTCTTAATTGTTAGTTTAAGTTTTAAGTTAAAATGTAATTGTAATTAATTTAAGTTTAGATTTTAAGATTATTCTTTGGTTGATCACTTTACATACCAAACATTTACATTAGCGATTTGATTGGTGGTGTGTGATGTTGGTGGTGTAGGATGTGGTGGAGCGCATAGCTCGACATAATAATTCCGTAGCAAAACATCCTGGTAAAAGGATTCAAGTGGTGCTGTACAACAAGTTGCCCTTTTTACACATTTTGTTCATTTAGTTATTTGGATTTGGTTTCAATTTGGTTTAATTGGTTTTTAGTCGTTTTAGAGAGAAGTGGGGGAGGGTGAATGAATAACGAAAAGTATATAGGAAATATATTTTACAGCATCTTGTTTGATTTTCGATTGTTTTTCTTTTGGTTTTTGGGTTTGTGGCAATCGCAAAGATATTGTAGTGTAGTTTACAGAAAGCGATAGACCTTGAAAGCAAAAAGCGTTTGGCATTATGCAAAGATGATATGCAGGCTGGTTGTTGTTATTAGAGTTATTGTTGTTGTTGTTGTTGTTGTTGCATGGGAATAGCTAAGAGCAAGCATTGCAAGCGTTTTACATAGGAAAGTCTTATGTATATATATATATATGGGTAGAGAGATAGAGAAAATCAACAGATAGTGCGACAGTTTAAGCATGATCTCTACCGACAGTTTGGCATAGCATTTTACAGTTTGATTGGGCGGGGGCTTGCGGCTGCAATATTTTGTAAGACTCATACCTTGTTTCCGTCTGATAGTCACTGTTGTTGTTCATCTGTGCCGATTGACCTATCCAGCTGTACCGACCACCCAAATCCGGTTCACTGGACTTGCCGGTGCTCAAAATCGATGCCGGTTGCCGGCGAAAATAGGAACTATCCAATTCGTGTGTGTCCGTATAGTTGTTTTGATAGCTAAACAAAAATCAAATTAGCAAATATTGCAACAACATTTGATTGCTTGCACGCACCGAGGATACTTCTCGAAGGGCGCGTAGGCGGCCAGATTCTCGTCGGAGGGCACACGTCGACCCACACAGCCGCCCAGAAAACTGCTCGTCTGTGTCTGGCCTCGTCGCGACAGGCAGCCAAAGAAACGCTCCCGACGCGGACGCTGCTCAATGCTATGCAGCTGACGATCTGTAAGGCAGTACTATATAAAGAAAAAAGAGAGAGGTTAGTGGTGCATAGCTAATCTTAAGGGGCAATCACTCACCTGTTCTCTTATGTCCCCGCGCGAATAGACGGAGGTGCGAGGCTGCAATTCGGTGGAGTGTGTTTGACGCAAACGTCGACGACCCGTGTGTTCATCCTCAGAGTCGTAGCTGCGATCCATGTGGCTGGAATAGGTGGCCTGATAGGGATTAGAGATTGGAGCCTTGTCAGTGCCTAGCCTAACACTACGAACTGAAGCTCGAAAGTTTTTAAGGGGCAAATGATATATCTTAAAATATTACGCATACGCCACATGTAACGCAAACATTAAATAATAATAAAATAATAGTTATTATTTATTTAACTCAACACAATTTGAGTTCTAGCAATATGCGTCCATTTTAATTGTTATTAAATTTGTTAAATAATTTTAAGATATTTCCTGTACACCACATAAGGCCACAGTGCGTAATAAATTTATTTCTTATAACTTCAAATAAGTTGTTGCTAACATTTCTTTTGTTAATCTCATAGTTACTGCTTTTAATACTCTAACTACTGGCCAACTAAAATTCATACAATATTCTGTCAGTGTGTTATATTTTTAGTGTGCAACCGACCTTCGTGGAGACTCCAATGTTGCCCAATGAGACGGCATGATGTAGACCTGCGAAATGAATTGTTGTTGAGTATCTGAGTTTGTTTCCATTAGAAAGGCAGACAAATGAATCACAATAGCAGCAAAACACACACACACACACACACATCATACACAATGCTATGTGATTATTTGTGTGTGTAAGTTGTGTGTGTAAGTTGTGTGTGTTTCGCTGTAACTGTGACTGTAGCTGTAACTGTAACTATAACTGCTTGTAGCTGTCTTCGAACTGACATGTTTTGCGTTCAGCGTCAGTTCAGCGACTCTCCCAAGGACTTACCAGTGCCTGTGGCCGAGCCAGTGCCAGTCGTTGATGCTGTGCCACGCAGGGCGATATCCATTTTGGCCCAAAAATAAATGTTAGCAAACACACACACGCAGACACACACAAACACGCACACACACACACACACACACGCACACACACTGCGAGGTACCTTTGCTCGAAATCTGTTGAGGCTATATATAAAAGTTTCGTTGTTGCTGATGTTGTTGTTGCTGTTGTTGTTGTTGCTGTTGTTATTCTTGTTGATGTTGTTGTTGTTACTCTTGTTGCTGTTGTTGTTACTGCTGTTGTTGTTGTTACTCTTGTTGCTGTTGTTGCTGTTGCTGTTTCTGTCGCTGCTGTCAATTGATTAAAATTTACTTTGCTTGCAATTGGAGCTGCCTCAGTTGTTGTTGTTGCTGCTGTTGTTGTTCTGTTGTTGCTGCTGTCAATTGTTTAAAATTCACTTTGTCCGCATTTGGCGCTGCCTCAATTGCTGTTGTTGCTGCAGCATCAACATCATCATCATGCTCGATTCAATATGTATAATTAAAACTTAATTTCGACAAGTTGCCTTCGTTGTTCTTGTGCATTCGTGTGCTCTTGTGTTCTGGGCGTTGCAGCATCTCGTGTTCCAAGCTTTTGTTGTTTTTATTTGGTTTTTTTTTTTATTATTTGTATTTTTTTGTACACCTTTCAGACGCGCTGCGTTTGTATACCCAACTCTGGACTTATGCAAGGCAGCAGCAATCGATATTTGAGGGGAGAGAAAACAGCCAACGCACTGTGGAAAATCACGTTTAGATTTTTGTGTGTGCGTGTGTTTGTTGTTTTTTTTTTTGGCTAAAATGTGGCAGTTAATAGTCTCAGCTAGACGGTGGCAACTCCATTTGGCTAATGCGTTTTTAATTGTCTCGTGGAAAATTAGAAAATCGTTTGGCTGTGAAAATCACTTTGGGCCTCTGCGCCAGGCGTCTGCTTCTGCCTCTGCCTTTGCGTACGCTGTGTGTGTGTGCGTTGCTGCTGCGTGTCCTGCGAGTCGAGCTGGCTCCGTGCGCCGTGGCGTTGATGCTGGAACTGATGCGGAGCACTGCCACGGAGACGCACAGCAGTCGCAGGCCATCATATGGAAACGCTGCCAGGATGCTGCGAGCACGAGAACAAGAAAGAGATTGCGAGAGAGCGCGCCGAGTGCGCAACGTGAGAGCGCGCGCGCCTGGAAGGCAAAAGGCAAACACAAAACAGATGTTTATGACACCCTTTGGGCAGAGGGTCCGGGCACAAGGGCGGGCACTGTGTGGCAGCAAAAGCGCAACAATGAACGGCGACAGCTTCAAAGACGCCTGGAAGTAGGCAACAGAGCGTGCGTGTGCCTGTGCGCATGCCAACGAAGCAGCGACGTCTCTGCCGGCTACTGCGGCTGCTGCTGCTGCGACTGCTGCTGCTGCTGTGTCAACAAAGCCAGCACAGACAGTTGGCCAGGACACGGGCAGGACTCATCACTGAGCAGGCTTCAGGCTACCTCCACCCACCAGGCCCCTAGCCAAATTTTGACGACAATGCGGCGTGAAGTTGACTTTGGCATGCGATTGTTTTCGCACGGCCTCTGTTCGACGCGCTGACTTCAGGACCAACCCCCGAAATCCACAAACGGAAGTTGAACCAAACTTGAATCCTCAGCAACGAGGCTGCGATGCTCTTCCACGGTGTATCTTATGTAGCTTTCGAATTTTTATTTACACCTTATGAAAAACTTTTTTGGTTTTTCACCAACTTTTTCCTTTGTCTTATAGTATTTATTTATTTATTTTTTTTACTCTTCCGAATTTCACTTGGCAAGTCCTTCGTATTATCCCGCAATTCCTCAGCTACCTTTAAATTTGCCATGAAGTGCTTCATCTTTAAAAACTCTTCGCTGTTATTGACTTCTTGTCATGTCTTTTTCAAATTAATTTGCCAAACCTTCTAATTAAACATTAAAAAGCTTCTTTGCCGCCTAATTTGCTATGCCTACCAAGAAGCCCTTCACATTATTTGTTCTAATTAAAATAAGTACCAATCCCTGTTCTACAAGTCTTTATAAAAGTTTCTTTTCTAATTTATATTGATTATGTATGGGTATTTTCTAAAGGGAGGTTTGAAATATAGCAAATAAAATTGTGAATTCATTTGACAGATTAAGAAGCGAACTCTTGACTCTCTCTTTACAGATAGCAGATATATATATATCTTCTTAACCTCCTTCTGAACCTCTGAGAATAATTGTAGCATGCGGAAATTTAAATTCATATATTATTAAGTAAAGTTTCAATGATTAATGATTTTGAATTTGATTTCCGAGACTTCTGTTCGTAAGTAACATATTTTGGTTTCGTCAGCTTTAACGAATAAGGTCTGAGAGCTTAAAAACAAATCAGATAGTTGGAGGAATTTGTCGATTCAATAAAACATTTTTGGTATATTCGCAGAATCCCCTTACAGACTTAATAACTTTTTATCACTTTTATCCTCCCCCAATTCCCTTCCCTCACAGGCATTCCACTGCCATAACTTTGACGTCTCTTGTTAGACCTAAAGGCCAGTTAGCATTTTCCAATATCTTAATTGATTTTATATTAGCCTGAATTACATATCTAACTGTCATTTAGACGCTTATCTAAAAATCTTAATGGATCCGACAATTAACAGCTACAATCTGAACAATTAAAGGGAAATGCTCCGCATTTTGTTCGGACGTAAAATATACACAACAGTTACCGTTGGATCTGTTTGTATAGTTGGCATACACATGCATGAACATGTACACACACACACACACACACACACACGCACATGCACGGATTGTATAAATAGTTGTATAGTCGTAAGACATTTATATAGACTTTGGCTGGCGGCACAAATTGTCTTATGCATTTTAGGCTGGCTTTACGGCTTCTATGTGGAATCTTTACAGTCCCCTCCTCCTCTTCTTTCTATCCAGCTAACAGCGCAAATATTGCCAGGCTTAACTGTGCTTTGTGCCCAAGTCAATATCAGGCAAATATTAAGCATACGCATAGTGCGCCAGCATAATGCATGAAAAATTGAGCATATCATTGACGCCGTTATTCTTGTCTGCATTGTTGTTGTTGTTGTTGTTGTTGTTGTTGTTGTTGTTGTTGTCTGGGTGCTTACTTGCTCAACTGTTTGCAGTCTAGGCACGTTCCATAATGGCGCCCCGGGTTATATGTAGGTATTATAAAGCGGAAATGGAGCCTGACTCTGACTTCCCTTTGGGGTCAAAGTTTTTAATCGCCAGGCATTAGAGCTTGGTATATTTTCGGTGTGTGTTTGCACAAATTGACGTTTTATGTTAATGCTATTAATTAATAAATAAAATATGACATTTTCGTGGCTAAGTTTGAACCTTTGCCTGGGTTTATTAATTTTTGCACGTAATAAATAAAAGCTTATTGCGAGCACAGCCGAAAATCCTGCGCCGAGCTTCCCAGCAGCCGAACATCCTGCATCCTGTGGCTAAGCCCATGCTGTGAATTTAATTTCGATCACTCTTCGCATTTGAATGCGGATATTTCAATTTGCGTTGACATTTGAATTGGATTCACGAGTTTCTATTTGCATTTGCAATTGCTTTATTTAACATTTATCACTAAACTACTAATGATAAAGAGTTACAAATTGAATTATTAAAGTACAAGTATTTATGCGTTGCGCAGCGCCCAAACGACGCCCTCGCCATGTTTAGTTCAAAATTTTCATATCTAATTTATTCATGCTTTTTTGTCGTCTGGAAATTTGTTTAACTACAATTGTACCTTAAGTTAAATAGTTGACAAATTGAAATAGTATTCTTTTTTTTTAGATTGGGGCATTGAGATATGCATGATTTGTGTGTGTATGTGTGTGCGTGTGTGTGACTAAAATAATTTATGCCTAATTTATGCAAACTTTTTTTTGAACACAAACGGCGCAAATTTTTGTGGCACCAACAGAACACAGAAGAGAGGGCACAAGAAAAGGTAAAGTCATTTCAAATTGTTTATAGTTTTGAGCGCAATTTATGGTTAATTAGCTTTTATGAGCTCGCAAATTTCAGCTTTCGCCTGACATTTATTAAATAGTTAATTTGTTTCATTTTATTGCATGTTTTGGCAGTTATTCGTTGCCCAAGGCAATTTCATAATTTGTAATTCCTTATTAATGATACCCTTGCAGAGTGCGCTTAATGCTCATCAATAAATTATCTAGCTGCATTCAATGCTGTCATTAGTGTCGATTAATAAACATATAAATCTGTGATTAAAGCAACGAATATTTTATCTAACAGAGGTTATACAATAAAAGAGCTGCATAGTGTACGAAGAGGCAAGAATTTGAATAAATATTACATACTTTGTTATATAAGCAGCTCGAAAAACTCCTTTTTTTTTACTGCAAAAATCAATAAGTTAGATTTATTGAAAGTACATTTTTCCAAGCTCTTAAAAAAGCTGCTATGTGAGATATATGTAAATTACATATCTCACATAGCAGCTTTTTTTTCTTTCCTAATCTAAAATAAATTAAAAATTAATCAAAATTAAGGACTATCCTCTAAGAGACTTAAGGGCATATCAATTTGAGCTTTATACTTTTGTAAATGGTATTTAATGTGTTTTTCTTTTCTCATATTTCAGCTAAATAAAGGTTAATATGCCTGATCCGGCAACACAAGCCCACATATATTAACCATTTTATATTGCCCAAACGCAACAAGCTAGTGTAAGCCGGTTTATAATAAACAAAATTGGCAGACTCTATCACATAGCTATGGCTAACAACTAAAAACCAAATCTTAAATTCTCGACCAAGATTAAAGAACTTAAGCTTCTGGTTTTCAATCAGAAACTTGTTGACAAGGCTTTGCCAAAGATCTAATCTCTTTACTCCACAGAGGCTAATCCAGCTAATTTGTCTGCAAGGGTATTTGATCTTCGGTATACCGTAGATATTTGAGTTCATCTTGTTAAAATTGTATTTAGGCATTCATTAATTTAATGAATTTAATACTTATGTGAAATATAATTGAATTTATGCCTCGTTCATTTGTTGAATTTATAATTCAAATTGTTCTTCTTTTTTTTTGCAAATATTTACTTCCGCTCCATATCGTTAATTATTTTGTTTAAATATTTGCACATATGTCCCTATTAAGATTGTAGTGTAATTATTATAAGTTGGCTTTTAATTTATTCCGTTCAGTTTATTTAATATTGTGAAATATATATATTTTTTTTGTTTGCGCATTGTTCAATTGCGGTTGACTTATGCCAGAAATTGTGCTTGCAATTGCAGTTAAAAACATATGACATCATATGATCTCATTATAATAATGAATATTACATATTTTCTCAATGTGCGCTCCATTTAAAAATAAGGCTCAATCCCCACAACGAATGGTAAAATGGCAAAAAGTGTGGAATATTTCGTAAAATTCTGTGCAATTTTGTTCACTTTCGAGTTTCTCATGCATCTTAAACGTATATGGAATATTTAATTTAAAAATAAAGTACAAGTGGAAAAATACCAAAAAAAAATACAAAAACTGTGCCGTCGGCCGTATAATTGCCTCGACTCGAGTATATATATTTCGTATTGGTATCGGTGGATAATTTGTATGTGTACGTTTTTAAAAATGGACCATTTAATATGTTTTCTCGTCCCCTGCCTGGCGGCCTCTTTGTTTATTCATTTGTTAATCTTTATTATTCTTTTATTGTTGTTGTGTTTCCTTTTGTTATGAAAATATTGCCTGGTAGCAAAGTTCACTTGAATACTTTTGTTTGAGACAATGATAAAGCTTTTCGTCTGCTAACTGTGTGTCTGCTTGTGTGTGTCTGTGAGTGTGTGGGAGTGTGTGTATTATTTATAAATCTATGTTTACGTTTAGAAATCGGCGAAACCGCATAGAATAGTATTGTTGTTAATAATAGGTTTATAGATTTAGAAAATTCATCGAGTTGCGTTCTTTTGTTTTTTGTTTCTTGCTTTTTGCTTGTGGGATTTCGGTTAATGCTTCGACTTCTTCGACTTGGACTATACGTGCTACTAACTACGACAAAAGACTAGAAAGATGTGACAATTCGGAATTCGATTCACGTAACTGGAGTACAACTACAAAATATGCTATGCGATTCTACTGCCCAAGTGGCTGGGGACACGCCCCCGCCCCCTTACACGGAGGTGGTGATTTGCTCCACAAAGTGAACGGGTCGGCACAGCGACTGCGAACGCTTAAGCCGGCACTGAGGATTGCCTCTGGTTGCCTGACAGCTGCTGCCAGCTCCGGTGCCAGCTGCGGCGCCAGCTACTCCTCCTCCTCCGCCTCCTCCTGTTCCAGGCATATGACGACCCTGTCGATGTGGAGTCCGCTGCAGCGAGGCGTAGGCGTGCGGCACGTAGATAAACTCACGGGAGGGCGCTGCCACGGCTGCCACGCCTGCCCCATGACGGCAGTTACACTGCTGCGACATGGTCGATAGGCCCTCCGGCACGCTGCGACTGCGTGCCGAACTGCCGCCACCATATGTGGTGGAATTGGGGCTGCAAGTGCATATGAGTGGCTGCCTGTCCTGAGATCTGTAAATAAATGCGAGCGTGAGGGGGATTGGCTCTTGAGAGGTGCTTTGGCTGGTAAATAGCGCAAGTGCAAGTGCAATGATGTTGTTGACATTATGTTGGCGCTGACACGAAGCCGAACAACTCCCAATTGCATTTCTATGGCTTGATGGCATTAAACAAAGAGACACAGATTCGATAATTGAACGTCAGTTTCGTATGAGCTGCCGAAAACTTAATCATGTAGAAGGCATGCACTTAATTCCAATTGCATTCAAGTGCATCCATTTAACATGCTCTCCGGCTCAATCCATTCAAATACATATCAGGCATAATATTCAGTTAAATTAATTAACCATTTAATTGCATGGATTGCATTTCTCAGTTAAGTGTGAACGATAGCTTCTAGAAATAAATCGCATTGCTTAACAATTCAATTTTCTCTTCAATAAAAAGTAACTTCTAAAAGGATTCACATAAGTTATCTACTTATTAATTGAAAGTCGTCTCAAATCGGGCTTAACTGGTTGAAGGTAGATGCTAACATGAAATGTATATTAAATCAATTTTTTAATTTATTAATAGCCTGTTGAAAATAAATCTCTGTGCACGTTAAACGCATTGAAAAGCTAACTATTTTTTAAAAGGTTGTAAAGCTCACACTAAATTTAATGTGACTGTTCACGTTTGGAACCAACGCCTATCCTTAAGACACGATTTGCGAAACTGATTTTAGAAACCATTTGTTTTTGTTTTTTTTATAAGCATAATAGTATCAACATCAAACAGTTATCATTGGAAAAAATCTTACTTTTGCTTTAAAAAAAAAAAAACCAATGGAAGATTATCTTTAACTAGCAAAAGATAACTGATGGAAAATATCTTTGATGCTGCAGAAGCTCAAATATTTTGTTGAAAAATAAATGAGTCTATGCTTTGCGCAAAACTCACTTAGAACCAAATGGTGAAAGGACATTTCCTTCATATACACATTTGTATAATATTCAGGTGCATTGATCTGACTTACTTGGGAGACTTGCGGCAGCCGAGTTCGTAGGTGCTATGCCAGCTGCAGTACATCTGGCCATCGCAGCAGTTGTGCTGCTGGATGAAGGAGAGACTCCGCTGCAGGCGCTTGCCCATCTTGGCGCCAATGCTGCCCTGGCCCAGCTGGTAGGGTGTGCGGTTGGCCTGCTGCATGTCCAGATTGTGGCAGGCCAACTGCTGGGGATGTGTATGGGTATGCGCATGAGGATGGGAATGCGTATGCTGGGCTGGCGGCTGATGATGCTGCGACAGATGCGAATGCGACTGCTGATGCATGTGACGTTGACAGTAGTGGGAATTTGTGGCCTGTAAATGTGGCTCCATTTGATTGAGGCTGATGCAGCTGCGGCTGAGCAGATCGGGTGCCGGATAGTCGCCATAGCCATAGTCCAAAGGCAGATTCGGGCGATGGTGGCGCGCCGACGAGTGACGCATCAGCATGGGCGTGGGCAGATGCCCATTGAGATGTCCACGCGGCGGCTGCTGCTGCTGCTGTTGCTCTTGTGGCTCGCTGATGAAGAAGATGATGATGCCCGAAATGGCGGCCGCCGCAGAGCAAATATAATAGCCGGCACGCCCATACTTCAGCGAGTAATCATTAAGAAAGGAAGTGAGGGGCACGCTAATGAGCACGGGCACCGACTGGACGCCGCGTATAAAGCCTGCAAAAGAGAAGTTTTACGAAAACATTAACTCCAATTAGAGTTGATTGCATGGCACATACCCCAGGCCTTGGAGAAATGCTTCAGCTTGATGCGTTCAAGCGCCAAAATCTTCAGCGAGTACTGAAAGCCGCCCAGGCCAATGCCATAGAGCCAGCTGAGTATGCACAGTCCTTTGTAGCCCATCACAAAGGATAGAAATAGTATGGCCAGTGCAACAATGGATATAAACAGCTGCAAATTGAAAGAGGAATTGTTAACAGTGAGACTTAAAAGTTATGCTCGAGCTACTGTTATCCGGCCTTGACGGAGCCGAATGAAATTAAACTAAAATCTTTAAGTTTTCACCCATTTTTCGCACGTAATGCGAATTTCCGGTTTAAATGTGACGATTTTCAACAGATTTTAAATTTGCTTTTAATTAATAAAAATGGTTTTAAAAGTAAAATGATTTTATATTGAATATTTTACCAAACGGTAAAGCAATTAATGTGAAATCAGTCAGTCAGTCAATCAATCAATCAATCAATTAGCAAAAACGTCTTTATGTTTCTAAATAAACTCACTTGAGAAACAATCTTGGTATTGATCACAAATTGTCTGATCACAAAGCAGCGACGCAGCAGTGCACCGGCCAGCACCACGCCCAGGGCCATGGAGATGCCCAAAAAGGTTTGCAGCAGGACCAGCTCCTGCACATCCGAGCCCTCCTTGGCAGCATTGAGGGCCTAGACCAAAACCGTGTAATCTCTGCTGAGTTAAGATCAAATGAGATTCTACTTACCATAAGGAACATGGGCGTATAGATGCCGAATGCAGCCACGCTGGAGGTCATCAATAGAATCTTAACTGTCACGGATTTCAGCGATGATATGTCCAAAAATAAATATCTCGTGGGTGACTCCACCTCCTGAGTGAGTTTGGGCTTCTTCTCGCGTAGCTAATAGTTAAAACAGTTAACAATAGATGTAGAGTTGCGAGTTTTTTGTTTGTACTCACCTTTTTGCGCTGGTTCTTCAGGTGTTGGATGGCGCGACGTTGCGGATGGTAGAGGGATGCGGGTCGGTACATGAGACCCATGAAAAAGCTGAGCGCCGTTAGAGCGGCAACGATTTGCAGGCCCAGGCGCCAGCCAGCCTTGCCCACGCCCTCTTTCAGTATGACGGAGAACAAAGCGATGCCAACGCCCTCGCCGGACATGGCCACCATTTCGACGAATTGCCGCCGACGCTTAAAGTAATTGCCCAGCATCACGGTAGAAGCTTCACGCACCATGGAAACTCCGATGCCGAATACGATGCCTGCGCAGCGTGCGGAGTATAAAGCAAATCAATATGGGAACCAACACATCCGGCACACAACTTAAGTATATCCCCCCACACAAACACACACATACACAAAAGCATATAAACTCTATACTAGATACGTACCATAACTGAAAACAACCTGACCGAATTCCGTGGCAAATGAAGTGAACAGAATGCCCAGCGGCATCACCAGGCCACCCACAATCGAGAGGAGGCGTATGGAACGCTTCCGGCACAGCGACACCACAAACGGTATGGCCAGCATCGAGACGGACCAGCTCAGGGCGCCCAATAGTTCTACAAAAGAATTCATAATATTGTTTTACTTGTGTACACAAAGCATAAATATTCATTGAAAATGCTATGTAAGCTAATTACGTACATTAAATAATTCCTAAGGTAATTACGTACATTAAATAATTCCTAAGAAATTGCAGATATATGTTTATATATATTCCAGTTCAAAGGCAAAGAAAATTCATGAATTTCATATATTACATGTATCCAATATGGACAAATATCATATGTAAATATATGAAAAAAATACTACAATTTAAATTAATTTAAAAGCTAAATATGATTTTGTAACAAATAATTTTAAATTGTCAAAAAAAAAAGAAATAAAGATAAATTTCTAAGTCTCTGAAGTACTTTTTTCCAGGATAAATTAATGATAAAGTTGAAAGTACCTTTGGTATGCTCAACATTCCATTTGTATCTAAATTCTTGCATGTTTTATTTACATAAAACCTTATACGTAACGTACAAGAGAATATTTACCTTTAAATGAGGTTTAAGTTTAAACGAGTGAAATGAAAATTCGACATATTTTTTTCTAATAAAATTGAATATCCCTCCTATTTTGTTTTTTTTTTTTTTACTTTCCATAAATAAAATGGTTTGTTTCATACATAACGAGCATTTGAACAATGCTGAATATTTGCCAGACAGTCTGAACGTAATTCAGCTTTCAGAGTTAATAAACTCAACTTACCGATGCCGCTTGTGTTATGCAAATGCTGAACGGCATAGAACAAGAGCAGGCCATAGCTGAGCTGGAGGCCAGTGGTTAGGATGTGGACCAGGAAGGAGACGCCACAGATGATCCAGCCCCAGCCGCCATCCGGATAAAAGTACTAAATAGATACAAATGGCAGACAACAGTAAATGATGCAATTAAAGTTGTAAATGCAGGGGACCTACCTGTCGTATGCGTGTTGTGTCCACACCGGTGCGACGCAGTGCCGGAATATTGCGATGCAACAGATGAAACTCACGATCGGCGAGTGCTGGAAAGGCCGAATCCTCCTCATCGGTTATGTGGCTAGGGTGGTGTGCAGCAGCATCAAAGCCTGCGAGACGAACAATTGAAAGTTGATTAAATGGAAAACAGGACACAAGGCCGCAGGACCAAGGCTTATTACTCACCCAAATAACAGCCGCCATTGGGCAAAAGTGGCTTGGGCGGCGGCGGGATGTTTCTGTGCTGCTGCTGCTGGTGTTGCTGCTGGTGATACCAACTATCGCAAACGCAGAGCTGCGGGCCGTAGTGGGGCATGGGATTGTACATGTAACAACAGGCATTCAAATTGGGATTGGCATTGCTCGGCGCATACCAACGAGCAGGCTCATGATGCGGCGGTGGCATTGAAGCCGCGCAATGTCGACTGCAGCCTGTGGCTGCATTTGCATAGAGCTGTTGCTGCTGCTGCTGCTGCTGCTCGATGGTGGGCAATGTGGCATAGCTGCCAAAATTGTCACAATGCCGCTTGGCATTGGCTTGTAGTGGAAAGCGCGCCGGATTTGTGCCATGGCAGTGATGTGGCAGCAGCTGCGCTGGTGGCGGTGGCTGCATCGCTGGCGTTGGCATTTGAGGCTGTTCAGTGGGCAGATTGGAGAGACGCGGACATGAGACCCACCAGGCCAGCGGCTGGTTGTTAAAACGGCACTCGGTGCACAAATAACGCGGCGTACTCAGTGTGGCAGCTGCCTCCTGCCTCGGCTTGGGGCTAGCTGCTGTTGCAGCTGTTGTTGCTGCTGCTGCTGCTGCTGCTGTTGTCTTGTTGTGGGCTTGTTGCGGATACGAATGATGTTGTGGTTGTTGTTGTTGTGGTTCTGGATGCTCACAGCTTAGGTTGTATCTTCGTCACAGCGCACATTTGTTGCACAGCACGGAGCTTCTGTGCTTGCTGCGCACCAGACTCGAATATGGCCTCAGCTCCTGCTCCTGCTCCTGCAGCTGCTGCTGCTGCTCCAGGCTGCGACTCTGACTCTGACTCGGACCGTGGCAAGGCTGGCCAACGGGCAGCAATTGCGGGCAGCTGCCGTATAGCGCTGATGAGGTATTCGAAAGACGGCGATAGTATGGAAACCGATGCTCCATATCATTGCCAGCATCAAGGGGCGTGGCACTTTGTTGTCGTTGCTGTCGCAGCGTTAAGCGTGGCAAACAGGAGCTGCGGTTGTCTCGGTCACTGCAATTGCAATCGCATGTGCACTGGATGACCATTGTACAGAACGCACAGCCGCTGTATACTATATGTACAGTGTAGTGTTGTGCTAGGCAGTGCTATGAAATGCTGTGTGTGTCTGTCTGTCCACTTCAATATTGGCAGCGCATAATGCTCGTTGCTGAGGTTTCTAGGCCAGCGCCATCCAACTATATCCAGTTCGGGGGGGCCATCTCCGATATTTCGGTCCACATCAGTGGGTCAACAATGTTGCGTGTGTGTGTGTGATTTTTTTCAGCTTCTGTTTCTGTTTCTGTTTTTGGCACTGCAAAAATTGGGAACGTGCACACACTGCACCAATAAATAAATAAATAAGAATCAATTTGTTTACTTCACGCACACACACCCATTCAGGTGACTAAACAAGCACACACAACATACAGAGCACATATTTCATATGCATAATTTAATTTGCTGTTTAATTGCGTGAATATGCCATTTGCCTGCGAGCAATGCGCAACTTCAAAAAAGACAAATTACAATGGCGGTCACAGTTTGAGAGCCATCGGATTAGATGGCTTAAAAGCATTCGATTGGTGGTTTTCGATTTAAGCACTCTCATATGCATTTGTTCAAATCAAATTGTTCGAGTCCAGCTTTGAAGCATGCAATTAAATTTCGAGTATTTGTTGAACTAAATTCCACTCTTTGACAATTATTTATTAATACATATTGCAAATAGAAAATGTTAAACAAAACAATTAGCTCGAGATTTCGCTTTGGGCACAGCCCCAAAAGTTCTGCATGCCTTAAGGCGTTTTCCCCTAGTGAAGTTCTCTGTTAAAAAATGTTTCTCAAAAATATTACGTATAAGAGTCAAATCTGTAGAATATATTTAATATACTATATTTTTTTTTTTTTAATTTCGCATAAGTTTTAAACTTTACTTGATATTAATAAAAATTGTACTTCTTTCTTCTTTTCTTTTTTCTTTTTCTTTTCTACATGAAAATCAAACATAAATTACAATTAACAACCATTGGAAGCATAACAAGTCGCTTCTGAGAACTCGAGGCCTTTATCTAGCGATTACAGTTGACTAATATCCGACTGTAAGTAGCTAAATTAATAAGCTGGTGTTAAATAAAACAAACAATATGAGGTGCACTCGGCTGGTAAAACGATACTCATTCATCTGTGCTGAGCTGAGGAATCAATCATCACTTATCGGTAATCATGAGCGCACACAAGAAGAAGTCGAACTGGTTGAAGTATTTATAGCCCGGGTGCGTCACATAGCTAACTGGGCTAAAATAAGATAACTGGCAGGCGAGGCACATCATTCAATTTGCACAATAACCGCTTGGGAATTAGAAATGAAAAGTGAATTATCGCCTGTGGCTGCCAGAGAGTGGCTGATGAACTGAGTAACGAAGGACATGCCAAAAATGAATTCAATTAGGGTATCTGCAAATAGTTAAACGAATTAAAACTGCGGCACAAACAAACAAGTTGCAAAACGAATTTGCTGGCACTCGCAAGAGTGAGGATTAAACCATTATTCGAGCGAGCTCTGACTTTGAGAAATTGACCAACTGATTGTTGTGGACAGTTTGGCACTTTTGTTACTAAAGTTTTTGTCCGCATTTATAGAAATTTGCCAGCAACAAAAAAAAGCCAGACTTTAAATATGAATATAGGTCACAAATCAATTGTACACAATTGTGCACTTAAAAAAAAAATTAATAATATGTATGTTTAATGAAGGCAATGTAAGTTCCATGATCCTAATAATAAAAAAAAAATTGGGAAAATAAAATCTATTAAGGAAAATGTTTAATTCAAAGAAACAGCAGAAAAATTATAAGTAATTATATATTGTTTTGTATATTCTATTTCTACTTGGAATATCTACTTTGATTGCATCGAATTGGATTCGATATCTAATACAAATATATTTACAAAAAGTCCTTTCAAAAGATTGTATCGTAGTCCTAGAATATCTGCTTGAATGCTATTAAAATAACATTCCCAAATTAATTCAGGTATACAAAACTTTTATAAGTCTGAATGCATTTGCTATGAATGTAGACTTTTCCACATTAATTCCATATGCAAATTCGTTATCATCCAGATAAATACAATTCCCCATTTGTTGGTGCCAGGCCTGGAAGATTTCAATTTTTTAAGTGTACTTTTTTTATAGGTGAGCTCGCTTTATATTTTAAGCACATAAAAAATAAGATTTAAATGAAAATTTTCAGCAATCCCCGATAATGCTTCTCTTAAGTCGTTCCCAGTTTTATTTTTTCAGGTTGTCTTGTCACATGATTGATTTGTGTTGTTGTCGTTGTTGTTATTTATGGAACGAGAAGGTCTTGCACAGTAGCTATCTTGATAGCATTGGGGACGATTTGCAGGCATCGATTAGTCCAGTGTCCATGGAACAGGCTATAAAGATGATAAATGATTTGGTTTGTTCAGCTATAAGGAAAAACTTGCAACATTTTCCATCTGACCCGGCTGGCATGTGCAACACCTACCAAAGCAAACAGCATCAATTGCAAGGGCTTCACCCTGGCTGCCCCACTATTCCATTTTTATGGTTTCACATAACGATTTTGGCCGACAACAGCAAGAGTGGAACTTTTTACAATGCACAACGGCGCATTTAAATTGATTGTAAGCAAGCGGGAAGCAAAACAGGAAGCATCCAACGAACAGCCAACATCAATCAAAACGCATTGTGCCCCGGCGCCCACGTTAAGCATCCATCGGGGAGCTGCACAACACGCAGCCAGCTTAAAAATGAGGCAACATCCAAATCCACCAAGCCCCAGTACCCACCCACTACCTGTAGCAACATTAAATTTAAGCACAGCAGAAGAAGTAGCAGGAGCAGGAGCAGCAGCAATAGCAGCTGTTGGAGCAGCAGTAACACCTACAACCAATACGTGAGGACATCCTCGTCTAGTCGAAGCGCTTCCTTTCCAGTAAATGTGTGAGCATACACAAAAGAATGTCAAAGTCGCATGACTACGAAGTACCCGTAAAAACATCTTAAGCACAAGCTAGATATGTGCTCGTGACACGAAATACAGTTTTCAGTTTTCTATCATTCTCAATCATTGCAAAATCAAAATTCTTTACAATAATGCAACCGCCAGGCTGATCTTTCAATTCGCGAAGAATCATGTTAAAAGATTAAAGTGGAAAAATACAATGATAGCCAGCAATAGCATTAGCATTATAATTCTAAAGACTTTGAGCTTAGTGGTCATTTTTATATCCTTGAAAAATACGAATTTATATAATTATTATTATATTAAACAATAAATAAAAATCTTATATATTTTAATCTCACAACATTTCTGTGATATTTCTTCGAAACTCTAATTCATTAAATGGGATGTCAGGCATACATGTAAAGTCTTAGGAATTTATATGAAATATATTATGTAGACCATTTGGGCTGGCTTTCAGTTATAACATAATAATTTACAAATATTTAAATCTTGCATGGATCTCGGCACAGATCTCCACTTCTGGCAGTGATAATCCCTTAAGAGAGCATCTTTCTCCAAAACTGCAGTTTCTACTAAGCTCAAAATACACAGACTAAACATATCATATCTAAGATTATACCCCATAGCAAACGCTTGGTGCGGGTATAAAAATATTTTACGAAAAAATATATATATATATTTTTATTTGTTACCAGTCGAGTGTAAAATGTTGCACGAGCTCGAGGATGCCTTTGGGTTTGCTCTGCGTAGATGCCGCAACTGGCCGCAGGCAGCGCTTAATGTCAGTCGCACATTTCAATAATATCCTAGATATCCTTGTGCCCTACCCAGTACATATATACATATATATTTATATATGTGTATTATTATTATTATTTCCTTCGTTTTTAGCTTTCTGTTTAGTCGTGGAGGTCAGGGCTTTATGTCCTTTTAAAATGCTATATTAAAATGTAAGCGTTGTGCAAATTCAAATAACTCACAATGTTGATAATCTGAACATTCAAAGTTTATGGGCGCGCCCACGCATACGCCCCGTCGGCCAAACCAGGTTCATGTGCTGACTTAACTGGTCATTGACTTTACCAACTTTATGATGCACTAAAATTAAATATACAACGTTCCATATAAATATCGTGCATCGTGTCTCTGTGCATGTGCATGTAAAAAAAAAAAGGGACAACTTTTATATGCCGCAGCGCAAGAGGAGCAGACGGCAGCCTGTTTGCAGGACCAGGCGGCAGCAAGGCGCAAAATGTTGGTCCTTTTCGGTGGGAGGTGTCGCTGAGCCTGGTCAGCTCACTGGTTTACTCTGCTGATTAAACATATTGCGGCAACGACGATGTTCCCACCACCCAAAAAAAAAAAAAAGATAAAATATTTGACTCAGCTTACTCGACTTGAAGATACCCACAATATGTTTGGACTGATCTAAGCCAAACTCGATTGTATATGTTGCCAACTATTTTCTATTATAAGCAATTAATAAATAACAAAGACATTTTTTATTCGACTGTCATGAAATTTTCCACAAATACGTGTAACAAAACTCAATGCTTTTTCATAAGAAAATATTTGTTAGATCTCTCTAACGACTTTGTATACAATATTATTAAGATTTGGATATTTATAAGGGATATATCCTATCCTCTTATGTATCAGAGTACACAAATGTCGAAGTTTTTGTAAGCGTATTTACGACACGCCCTTTTTATAGCTTACAGGGTATTGGATAAAGGGAAAAAATTCGAACAACTTTAAGCCACAAAATTAAATTCACACCGAGAAGTTTTTGAGCTGTTTTTGCTATGGGGCTGACGTCGCTTTTTTTCACGCCCGTTGGGTGAACGTCGCAGCAGACTTTGGTCCCTAGTCCCTAGCCGAAAGATAATGGATATCATGTTGCCGCTGGGTTTACATTTTAGTTTTGCACTTTTCGTTGTAATAAACACATGACAATATGAGAGGCTCCTGGCGCTGCATGCACCCTTCAAGGAAATAGCGAAATAAAAAGGAAATGGTGTTGCAATCGTTCC